TATATATATATATGGAGAGAACTAACTGCATGCGAATGGGTATGCGGGTGCTGAAACCCATTAGAGTCAGGTATTTAAAAATTAAAAGCAGCACACACACAACTGGGAGTCTTTCGTGTAGCTCTTTACACGCAATTTGATTTACTTAATGAACTCACTTAGGCAACTCAGCAGAGGTGAGCTAACAGCATGCACAACATATAATATATGTATGTATATACGTACCTCATAGGAGCCGGCCGTATCGAGTATGTCCAGCGTTAGGCTAACGCCCGCAATTGAAAAGTTACCCTGATGCATTTCCTCGATGGTCCGTTTATATTTCGTAGTGAATGTGTTATACAGAAATTGTGTGATTATCGAAGTTTTTCCCACTTTGGCCGCGCCCATGACCACAATTTTATGACGTGCATTTGCCGGTCCAATGGCATCGTCCACAGCATTATTGCGTCCCACTCTATATTGACAGCCAGCGAGTGTGAGCGAGAGCAATAGAAAGAGAGAGAGAGAGAGAGAGGGAGAAATGGGGGAGATGATAGTATGTAGTAAGTGAGCGTCACAGAAAAATTGACTTGCAAGTTGAGTTAACTTAAATTGAATTATTTTGCGTTCGTTTTTCCATGTTTATTAATTTAATCGTGTGTCCGCATACAAACATACATATGTACATATATAACTACTTTAGCTACCCAAGGGGCGCGGGGAGGTCGGCGGCGCCGGGTCTCATTTTGGTAGTATACAGCAACTGGTGCAGCGCTTCAATCTCCTCAGCGACTCATTAAAACTGTGCGCTACATTTAAAATTAATCAGTTTGCCGCCAGGACAACGAGGACGCCACCAAAGACAACAGATAAAAGACAAACTAAAGCATGTGCGTGTCTGTGTGTGTGTGTGTGTGCGTGTGTGTGTCAAGGTATGTATTGTCTGCCTTTAACAGCAGCGCTTTATAATGAATTATATTTGGAGCAACTGTTGCGGCAGCTGCCTGCTCAGTTGCACGCAATTTAACAATTTCATTTTTTTATTGCACTGCAATTTTTCAGTATTCCTTTGTGTCGTCTTCGTCAACGTTTCACAGGCGGCAAAAAGTGAAAGCTGAAACTGCAACTGAATTGAAAACGGAATTTGAGCCCAATTAACTCTGTATCCAAGCAAAATGGAAGCYGAATTGAATTGAATCAAAATAAATTGCATAGTTTAACCAAAATTGAAACAAAATTGAGATTGACTTGCAGCAGAATTGAAACAGGATTGCAATTGAATTAAAACCAAATTGAAATTGCGTTGAATCTAAGTGCAGGCATAAATGAAATAAAATTGGAATACAAATAAATGCAGGAATTGAAATAGAATTGAAATGAAACTGAATATAAAAAGAAAGTGAATTGAAATTGAACTGATACAGGATTGAAAGAGAATTGAAATGCAATTGATATTGAACTGCATCTGAAGAGAAACAGAATTGAAATAAAATTGAATCTATATTGAAACAGAGAAATAGTAAATTAAAACAGAATTAAAATTGAATCATTTCTGAATAGAAACAGAAACAGAATCGATATGAAATTAAAACAAAGTTTAATGAATATTTGAATCTGAATTGAATACGAAATTAAATTAGATAAGACTTTAAACAGAATTGAGATTGGAATGAAATTGAATTGAAATGTGCACGTATTTTCAGTAAATTAGTTTTAACTTTTTCTGGCTCTTCATTCATTTTATTTAATTCATCATCATTTGGCATTCGGATTTAGTTTTTTTTGAATTCAATTTTTTTTAGCCCGCTTAGCTTCAGCAGCAGTCGCTAGCTCGGAGAACAATGGAATCTCAATCGCGCTTTGAGGCGACGGCAGTGACAGTTTGATCTAAGCGACTTATAATTTATATATATACATCTATATATATAAATACTCCTTCCATAGTGGGAAGTACGTTTCTCCTCTATATGTTACGTAACTCTCTCTCTTTCTGTACCT